TATGCATTATTATTTGTATATTTGCCCAAAAGCAGTCAAAATGACTGCTTTGGGCAATCTAGTGTTAAAGAGGATCAATTTCAAAATAAACCATTTGTTAGAAATATTATTACCCAATTTTACATTTAATATGTTTTTATATTTTATTCTAATTACTGTTTCTTAAATGGAACATATAAAAGTCTAACGTGCAACGAAACGATGTCCTCAGCAAAACCAGACGTCCTGATTATCTATTGTTGAATAACTCGCGAACAGCTTGGTATCAGAGCCACCGACCAAGGTACGTACGTACCTAGTTTCCTCTGCGCTTTCTTAGCTTAATTCAAGAATTGCATCGGACTGCTCCCAGGGCCGCGCACGTTCAACCAGCTAAGACGGCTTTCGCAGCTTAACAAGTGTGTGTAGGCCCCAGGCGTACTAGATTCTGGGACACTTTAGCAGAGTCAGGACTTTTGTACCGGCAGGCCGCTAGCTGCCGTTTACTGAAAATTCTCTACCGAAACGCTGACTCCCCTTGCTCGCGTACGTACGTTTAATATTAACAGCTATTTATGCCGATTTCATGAGTGCAGATAATTCAATATGCAAAGAAGAGACCGATGTTACACTCCAATGAAATTTGAAAACCTCTGTTCCAGATATTTGAATACAAGATTTACCATTTAACATAATAAATGTACGTCAGTTTTATAGTGTTTTAAATATTATTTAAATAAATCGATTTGTTCAGCAATGCGAGAAAGTATGATGACTGTAATGAACGACAATAATTTTTTTCAACATCCTTGTCCGATAAAGCCATCACCAGGAAAGTAGGATTTCCTGTCCGACAGCGGACAGGAAAGTTTTTCTGTAAAATTTCTTAGAACACTATAGATGTAGATAGATAGAACACTTGCCTACGCGAACTTTCTTGTTCGCCCTTCAAAAGCGTCGCGCTTCAAAACTGTTACCAAGTACGAAAGCGAACTGTAGTACTATGACGAGAATCGCCAACGAAGACACGTCTTAATCGAACGAAAAACACATCTCCTTTTACTCTTCTGTGTTGCTATTCTCTGAACACATTGCAAAACAGCCTTAACTTTTCTTGTGACTAATTATAAGCATTGTGAGAATAGAGTAAGACGATTTAATTGTTTCAAAGGAATATTTAAATCAATAAATAGAAAGGAAAAAGGGGGATGTTAAATAAATCGCACATGAGAACACTTTCGAGTAAAAAGAGCAGACTATGACAATACTTTCGTACCCATAAAACCAAGTAACCTGCAAAACTGTTATTTTTTTCCTGGAAATAAAATATTCTCCTTTATGTACCTTGTTAGCATTGAATATACTGCTGGCCCGTGTCAAGTAGTAAACGTAAAAAGCTCTGAACATAGTAAAACATAGGAAGGATGTTTTATACCATACAGGATGCCGGTAATAAATATAAAAACAAAGAGGAAACTGAAAGTAAACGTTGATTGGCAAATACGAGGTATTAAATGCAACAGAGAAAAAATATTTTATAATTAATCCAACTGGGCCGTGAAAACTTTACTTCTTTTGCTAAAAATCAATTTTATTTTATCTATGCTAGATATTTTATTTATGCTATCTATTTTATTTTATTTATTATCAATTTTATTTTATCTATGAAAATTTAGAAAAGAATTTTTCAATTTATATTTTACATTTATTTAGGTGACATTAGTCCTACGGTTGAGACCATTGGAAAAAGAGGTAACGTTGAAGATTAGGAAAAATATCGGGTCGAGGATTAAAGAAATTCCGAGTGTATCGCACCGCAGGACAGTTCTTATTCCATGAATTATTCATTCGAAAAAATAAAAATCTACGCTGCCGGGAATTGAGATAAATCCCTATCTTCTATATTCTTACACGTACTCGTGCCGTACGGAAACAGTTCTATGCGACATGTATGCGCCGTACGATGGGACGCATATTTCTCTCTGGAAGATACCTGCTCATACGCATATGTCACGAACACGGCACGTCTTTCGGCAAATGTAACGGCGGAAAAAAGTCTGAAACGTACGCACCGGGAACTTCGGAATGGTGCATTTCAGTTTAACGCGATCAAATATTTTTTCAGGAATACAAAGAACGTTGAAAAGACTAATATGTCTACATTTATTCTAATGAATATCTGTTACACGAGTGCAACACGAATTTTAAAGGGTTAATGTATTATTGAGAAAATATGTATGTGTTAATTGTGTTCCTTCGGAAAAATGATGTTCGTCGCTTTATGGACAGAAACTTTAATTGTGTGTACGAAACGAAGTCTGCACCGTATCTCGGTTGCAGCTATTTCTTAAGAATCCGAAAAGAGCGAGACGGGTTTATGAGCATTTCAAGATGAAATATGAACTATTCGATTTATGGGAATAACGTCTGGGAATAGTGAGATACTCGAGGGCTTTACGCTTGTCACATGATGTATTGTACGAGTATCACTATCAAAAGTGGTGTTTGCATTTTTAAAAGTTTTCTTATCGAAATCTGCGATTCAAGTGACACTGTCAGCGGTTGGAATTATAACTGAGAGACTCAAAAACTTAGGATAGCGAACGTCGCAGAATCCAAAGACATTAATCACGTTCTTCTTTAAAAGAATGATGATCTTTTTTAAATGTGCCACTTCCTTGAATATATTATTTCCCTATTGATTATTGCATGAAAAGGGCAATAATATTTATTATTAAAACTCTTGCAGACAGTTCACAATGCTCTCAAAGGAACAATTTCAAAAATTCCCTTTACATGCCTTTTCAGAATTATCAATCCATTACTTACTTTTAAAAGATTCATGGTGACGTTAACCGAGAGAACACAATCTGTCACAGTTCACAATAACTGACTCGCAAAAGCTGAAGATTACCATTTCCAAGTAAAATTTGAATGATGCACTCACCTGACTGGACTCCATGCGCAGGTGCAGCTGGCGCAGGGGGTACCAGGCCGGTGATGCTGTAAAGCGTCTGCCGACTGTCATACTTGTGGCCGCCGCAATGACAGGGCGTCGTGGGGGTGGGAAGGCCCTCGCTGCCCCTGATGGTACCGCCGACCACCGAGATCTCGTCGAGCTCGTGACCGCTGTCGTAATGGCACAATCTGGTCGCGCTGGTGCTAGCGCCGCCGCCGCCACCACCGCCTGTTCCTTCCCCGCCGCCAGCATCCCCACGACCACCGCCGCCGCTGCCCCTGCCGCCCCCGCTACGGCCCCGAAGCGACTGCACCAGTCGCTTGGCGCCCGAAGACATTCCACGGAGGTGATCCAGCCTTCCGGTATTCCCTCCCTCCCGTCCTCACCGAACACCGCCGTCTGCGAGACCGACGATATCCACCTGCGATTTTTCAAATTAAACGTCTCTGATGAGAGACTCTCAAAGAGTCGAAAAAGGAAGACTGAATCAATGACAAAATTTTATCTATGTTTCATTTTATTCACGAATTATAGCAAATAATGATCAGCTATACCAGAAGCTTGATAGGTAACGAAAGCTGAAACTTACTAAACGAGGATATCCGTCGGTCGTATGATAGTCTGCCAACTAGGAGTAACCAGCGACGATAGCCACGCACATGAAACGGCGACCGGTGTCACCGATCCGAGGCCACGATCGCGCTCATATTCTCCCCGGTATCGGGTTTCCGCGTTGTATCGGTACGCGCGACAAGATTCGAAACGGTACGGACTTCACTGACTCGGAATCGAGTCACGCGACGCAGTCGCGAACCGGCGACGACAAATCGGCGACGACGAGCGCATCACAGGTTTACCACTCGCGGATTTTCCATCGCTTTTCACGGACGAGCTTCGAACACGAGATAACGTAAACACTTACCCGCGACCGACGACGCGTCGCGAGTACTATTTGAGTAAAGGCGAGAATTCACGTCACGTGCGCGCGTAGCTTCTTCCTGATCCTGTACCTGTCTCTCCTTCTCTTCCTTTCCCTTTCTCTCTCTCTCTCTTTCTCTCTGTTTCTCTTTTTCACGCCCTTGATCCGTCGTTTTACGCTTTTTCTGTTCCACGTCTTTCCGCTTTTGGTTCCAGCGTTGACTAATCACCGTCCCAGTGACGAAATACAACCTTGTGGCAGACTCTTTAAGGGGGCAACAGTTGCGCAACAAGTGTCTCAAGCCACGGCACTCATGTCACGTGCTTGCCCTGTACTTCTCCGTCTAGGACACGGTACTCTCGATACTCTCTACCCCTTCGTCCTTTGCTCGCTTGACACACCACCGCCTCTGAGATGCTCAGCTTTCCTCTGAACAGTGTATCGTGCCCCGGCACCTGCGAACAGTAGAGATTAATTAGACTGAAGCACGGTGTTCATGAGCAAATTTAACAGAATACCAATCAAACTCTTTGTAAATAGAATGTCAGAGAAACTTTGAATTTAAAAACGGATCTGTTTTATATTAACGAATATTTTCCTTTTCTTATATTTGGTTTATTAATTGAAATTTAATAGATAATTTTGAAGAGGAAAACTGAGGCTATAACGTAGCTAAATCTCGCGTTGTGACGCTAATAAGATCTGCCATCATTTGGAGAATTGAATACTCGCCGCTGATGAACGAGTAATGAGTCTGGGATTAGACGAATCTGCGGGTAAATGACTAATATCCATTATGCATTGCCTCGATCGGACAGAAGGGGAGCTCGACTGTCAAGAACGGTAGATAGATTGACCTGGTGAATGAGTTATCCGACTGGATATTAACAAAATAAGGATTCCGGTTACGCTCGCTTAAGAGGGCTGCGAATGAATTCTAGAGTTACCTCAGAACGCATTAATCAGCCTATCAATTAACTCCGTAGTGAAACTTGTCAATTACCGTCATCCCTTCAGACAAGTTTCAGTGAAATTGTTATATTATACCTTTCCAGCTTGAATTTCTATGATAAGTATTCTCCACGATGATTAATGTAAGATACGAAATGCGTCGTTCATTAACGAATTTCAGTTTATATTTCATTGATCGCTTTCGTTCATCGCGATAACAGTTTCTTTGCCACGTTTGAAGTTCGCACAAAACTGTTTCGGGTGTCGCTGAAAATTTTATTTCAACATTTACACGCTCGATTCTTTCATCTCGTGAATAATAGAAAATTCTGCAGTCGCGCGACTCAACGCAACGAGATTGCTGACTCGCCTTTCTTCAAACAGTCAGAATTTCGTTACATATTCACCCCGTTGAATTTCATTCGACGGAACACGAAACTCTCCAGATACCGGTCGCGCGAGACCAACAAGTTATTTTCTCGACCTGTAATCCGGACCCGCGTTGTCCATTTCCCCCGGCGCAATTTCTTTCGTTCGTTCACGCGTGTGAAAAAAAGAACCGAGCCAGAAAATTATTAAATATTCTCACAGGATCTCGCTGCTCCCCAGCTGGTAGTTTCGAAATCTTTCCTCGTATTAAGTCCAGCCCGGAGAACAAGTGTAACGTGGAATTCATTCCCGGAGAACAAAACGAACAGAAGAGATATTAAAATAGAACGGAATAAGAAATGTTTTTCGTTTCACAATATTGAAGTTTTTATTGATTTTATTGAGATTTGCTACGAGTATCTTACGGATAAGGAAACACGTAGAGTGGACGAACGGACTTTCGTATCAGGCCATTCATCGGCTGTCGAGTTCAGTCGAGTTGACGTATTATTTCTACCTATTATTCTTCAGTTGGCTATAAAAAACATACTTTGACAGTAGCGTCTGCACTCGGCGATCGTGATACGAACGGAAAAGCTACGCGCCGGCGATATATCGAATTATTCCACAGACAAAGGGAAGCGAATATATCGACCTAGACAGCGAGAAAACGTCCGCAACGGTGGACGCTTTGTCCGACTGGTTTCTTTGCGAATCGACCGGATATTCTCAATCTGCTTACAAGAAACTGCATGTCGACAGCCACGAAATACAGGTAACCCTCCTATAACACGGTAGATAGGTTCCTAGAAAATGCCGTGTTGTGTGAAACCGTGTTGTATGAGACCCAGAGCCAGTACAAAAACGGGGGTTACGTTCCGAAAACTTATTAAAAACC